TTTGATTCATTGATCTTTTGTATTGTTTTTTGGGTTTCAATTTCATTAAGTTCTGCTCTGATCTCAATGATTTCTCTCTGTCTGCTAACTTTAGGTTTGGATTGTTCTTGTTTTTCTAGTTCTTTAAGGTGGAGTATTAGGTTGTTCACTTGCCATCTTTCCATTCTTCTGAGGTGAGCATTTAATGCAATAAATTTCCACCTTAAAACTGCTTTTGCAGTATCCAACAGGTTTTGGTATGATGTATCATTATTTTCATTAGTTTTAATAAATTTTTTGATTTCCTACTTGATTTCTTCTTGGATCCATATGTCATTAAGTAGAATGCTGTTTAATTTCCATGTGTTTGTATAGTTTCCAGAGTTTCGTTTGTTATTGATTTCTAGTTTTAATCCATTGTGGTCTGAGAAAATACGTGGGATAATTCCAATTTTTTTGAATTTTTTGAGACTTGGTTTGTGACCTAATATGTGACCCATTCATTGTTTAGGAGCGTGTTATTTAATTTCCATGTATTTGTACAGTTGCTGTGTCCCTTTGGTTCATGGTTTCTACTTTTATTTTATTGTGGACTAGCAAAATAGTTGATATAATTTCACTTTTTAAATTTGTTGAGACTTGGTTTGTGACCTAACATATGGTCTATTCTAGAGAATGTTTCATATACTACTAAGAAAAATGTGTATTCTGCAGTTGTTGGATGAAATGTTGTACAAGTCTTTGTAAGATCTTATTGGGCGTCTCCGACTGTCTGACTTTACATGGCTTAACAGAAACTATGGTCAACTGGCACTGGCATTAGAAGGGTTTTTGTGCCTTATAGACTGCCATTATGGAGCTCACAAGTGGATATCATCATTCAACCAGTTAAATTGGGTGGCACCACATTTGTTTTCCAACCATCCTTTAACCGATGGATATAATATATTCACAGATGGGGGTAAAGCAGGAACTACAATTATAATTTATCAGCCTCAAATATTTCAACATAACCCCCCACCAAAAAAGAGTTTTCAACCTTGCACAATATAAAGAATTATTGGCAATTATGATGGCTTTAAAGTAGTTCCAGACCCCATGAATTTGTTACCACACAGTGTGTATCTGATTTTCATACCTTAACTCATGTAAACTGGAGAGAGCTTCAAGCCCAATTCCTACAAATCCCAGTTTCACAGTTAAAAAGAATTGTTCATACCTGTAAATCTTGCATCCCGTATTTACAGGTAGCACCTTTACAACCCCTGGTTTAAACCCTAGGGGGCTCAAGTCTAATGTTTTATGGCAAACTGATGTCACTAATTTTCCAGCATTTGGAAAATTAAAATATATTTTCATGTCTATTGACACTTATTCTCATGCCTGTTGGGCTACAGCCCACACTGGGGAGAAGGCTAAACATGCACAAAATCATTTACTACAATGTTTTGCCACACTCGGCCTCCCCAGTCAACTTAAAACAGATAATGGCCCTTGCTTTGTTAGCAATGCCTTCCAAGATTTTTTATCCACTTGGAACATATGCCACTCCACTGGCATCCCTTACAATCCTCAGGGACAAGCCATAATAGAACGTCACCATCAGAATCTAAAGAACCAACTTTTAAAACAAGAAGGGGGAATTATTAGCCCCCACGAACAGTTAGAAATGGCATTATTTACCTTAAATATTTTAAATTTTCCAAAACATGAGCCAATAACTGCTTTCCAAAAACACTGGTCAAACCAATCCCCATGTCCTGCCATTCAGGTGCAATGGAAAGATCCCCTTTCAGGACAATGGAGAGGCCCCGACCCATTCTTAACTATGGGCAGAGGATTTAGATGTATTTTTCCTTTTAACGAGCCCAACCCTATATGGGTGCCAGCCAGAAATCTCAAGCTCTCACCCACTGCCCAAGGTGATAATGACCCTGAGGAAAACCTTTCTTATGTTTTCCAGGAAAGTCCACAATGAAGCAAGCTTATCTTCTGCTAGGGGTCTTCTCCATGATTGGTGAAGCAAGTCCACCCTCTTCTCCACACACTCCAGCTAACCAAACATGAACAGAAGGGGCTTGGACTTGCTGTTTCTGCAACAAGGAGGGTTATGTGCAGCCCTCAAAGAAGAATGATGTTTTTACGCAGACCGTTCTGGTGTTGTTAAAGATTCTTTGGATAAATTAAGAGAAGGATTAGAAAAACGTAGGAGGAAAAGAGAGGCCAATTCCAGCTGGTTTGAAGGCTGGTTTAGAACTTCCCTTGGCTCTCCACTTAACAGGCCCTCCATGCATGTGGGTCGGCTAATGGCCCTTATAAGGCACAACCTAGGTTCCCTCACCATGCTCACCCAGGTGGTGGATAAGGTAGCTAATGAACAACACCCCCAAGACCCTTGGGTCAATTTGGCCCTTCAAAAAAATTAACACCAAGGTGTAATCTCCTGTTTGGCCTCAGCGTGGTTGGATAGTCAATGACGGGTAGGATCCCCCATGGGGGGGTGACAACCTAAGACAGACACAACCACACAAGACCAGTAAAGGTTCTTTCAGCCTCAGCTTGGTTGGACAGTCAACGACAGGTAAGATCCCCTAATGGGGGGGGGGGGCAACCTAAGACAGACACAACCACACAAGGCTTCTATTAAAACAAAAAGGGGGAACTATGGGACCATGCCCATTTTCTAAGAAAAAACAACAGATGGCCTAAACAAATAAAAGGTGACACCCAAGGGAAGTTAAGGGGGAGAGCTAAGCATAGAGAGGCAAGGCACGTGCACATTTGACATTTTCAAGGATTGGCCTAAGCTTGGAAATCCCTACCTGCTAAGCATATAAATATGATCTTTTGTGTTACAATAAACGGAACTGCCTGAGAGAACCCCCGTTTCGTGCGTGTGTGTTTGTTCCCTATCTGGGAGAGCAGTGGCGTGCTCACCCATCTCTTGGAGTCTCTTTTTGCCCCGTGTCCTGGAGGGGAGAAAAGGGCAATCCCTTTGGCCCCAACACTCTAGGGAAAGGAAAAACCTGTTGGGGTCCCATGCAACTGCCAGAGACGCCCAACAAAATCTAATTAGTCTAGAGTGGAACTTAATTCTGATGTTTCTTTGTTACTTTGCTGTCTGGATGATCTGTCCTTTGATGCAGGAGCTTTATATATCTGGGTGCTCTGGAGCTGGATGAATATATACTTAGAATTGTTATATCCTCCTATTCAATTGGTCCCTTTATCACTATATGATAAACTTCTGTATCTTTTTTTTTTTTTTACTTCCCTTGGTGTGAAGTCTATTATTTCTATCTGATGTAAATATAGTTACTCCCATTCTTTTTTAGTTACACTTATATGAAATATCTTTTTCCATCTCTTCATTTTTGGTCAATGTATGTCCTTATAGGTGAAGTGAGCTTCTTGTAGGCAGCATACTTTCGGTCTTGTTTTATAATCCATTCAGCCACTCTTTGTCTTTCAATTGGAGGATTTAATTCATTTACATTTAGAGTTATTACTGACAAGTTTTTGTATTATTGTAAGTTCTTGTTACTGCCTTCTTTTTACTTTGTTTCTGGCTGTTTTATAGATGCTTTTTTCCTTTTTGCAGGTCTTACTGTCTTTCTCTGTGATTAAGTGGTTTTCTCTAGGGGTATGTTTTGATTTCTCACTATTTATTTTTATTATCCCCATTATAGGTTTTTGTGTTATAATTACCATGAGACTTAAAAAAAATGTTATAGTTATAACAGGTTATTTTAGACTAATAACTTTGCTTTGATCACTAAGAAAATGGAAAATATCAAGCCCAACTCTACATTTTGACATCATTCACACACACACACACGCACACACACACACACACACACATGCACACGCACACACACACACACACTTCTTGACATTTTGTTGTTTTGAGTTATGTCTTTTAATGTTGTTGACTTTGTTCTTATCTGGTTGAATTTGCCCTTTAGTCATATAGTAAGGATATAAGTGGTTTATTCACTGCCCTTAAAACATTGGAGTATTCTGCAAATGTCTGTGTATTTACATTACCAGTGAGTTTTTTACCTTCCAATATTTCTTGTTACACTTGAGCATCACCTTCTTTCAACCTGAAGTGCTCCCTTTAGCATTTCTTGTAAGGCAGGTGTAGTGTTGATGAATTTTCTTAGCTTTTGTTCATCTGGGAAAGACCTTATTTCTCCTTTTTACTGAAAGTTAGCTTTGCTAGATACAGAATTCTTGGTTGACAGTTTTTTTCTTCAATTCTTTGAATATATCATGGCACTCTCTCCTGGCCTATAGGGTTTCTGCTAAGAAATTTGTTGAGAGAGTTATTGGGGTTCCGTTGAATGTTATGTGTTCCTTTTCTCTTACTGTCTTCGGTATTCTTTCTTTCCCTGTTTTTGGTATTCCTTTTTTTTTTTTTTTTTTTTTTTTCCTTTCCTTTTTTTTTTTTTTTTTTTTTTTTGTCTTTTTTTGTGACCGGAAACGGATCGCAACCCTCAGCATCACGCACGTACCGGACCGGGACCGGCAACGGGATCGCAACCCTCGGTGCCGCACCCGCACCCCGCTCAGCCAGTGAGCGGCCAGTCTGTATGTGGGATTCAAACCCTCGAAGGGAGCGCTGCCGCGCTTCCCAAGCGGCGCACTGTAGCAGTGCGCCACCGGGCCGGCCCCTTTCCCTTTAGTTTTTGATAATTTGATTATTATGTACTTGGGGTGTTCTTTGTACTGAATTTGATGTGTGACTTCTGAGCTTTCTGTACCTGAATGCTGTCATTTTTCTTCATACATGGGAAATTTGTGGCCATTACTTCCTTAAATATGCATTCTAAGTCTCCTCTTTTTTCATCTTCTTCTACTACAGCAATTTTGAGGAGGTTATTTTGCTTGAGGAAGTCCCATATTTGCTGCAATTCTGTTTCATTTTTTCTTATTCTTTTTTCCTGTTGCTCTTCTGATTGAATAATTTCATGTATTCTGCCTTTGAGCTTACTGATTCTTTTCTTTGTTTGATCAAGTCTGCTGTTGGAGATTTCTGCCAGGATTAGATAATGTATTCTTTATTTCCAAATTTTCTGTTTTTTTAATTCATTCTATTTCTTTTTCTAAGTTTCTTGTTCTGCTCCTAGATTGTTATCCTAATACAATTTAATTTTTCATCTGTATTTTCTTGTGACTCCTTGAACATCTTTCAGAGGATTATTCTGAATTCTCTGTCAGACATTTCATAAATCTGCTATTCTTCTGGGTCCATTGCTGTCACTTTGCAATGCCAGCCTGTGAGAGCTGAAGCATGGCTTGAGACCAGGAAAGACATAAGAGCAGAGTTGCCCAAGGACTTGGGTACCCAACCTCCACATCAGCATGGAGAGGACATTGAACATGGAATCATGGCCTGATTCACAAGCTTTAAGATTTAATGCTTGCCCTGCTGCGTCTTGGACTCGTCTGGAACCTGTTACACCTTTCTTTTGGCATATTTCTCCCTTTTGGAATGGGAATATATACCCTATGTTTGTCCCACCATTGTATATTGGAAGCAGATAATTTGTATTGATTTCACAGATGGGACTTTGAACTTTGGTCTCTTGAGTTGAAACAAGTTAAGACTTTGGGGATAAAATGAATCCATTTGCATGTGAAAAGGACATGAATTTGGGGAAGCCAGGGGTGGAATGTAGTGGATTAAATTACATCTTCCCAAAACTCCCTGAAGTTGGAATTGTGTCCCCCAAGTTTTATGTGTTAAAACCTTAGCCCCCACTGTGACTAAGATGGTGGGAAATCCTATTTTGGTCATTGAAAGGTGGAGCCTTGAAGAGGTAATCAGATTGTAGGGTCATGCAGTAGTGAATGGATTAAAAATGGTGGTCAAAGGCATGGTTCTGAGGGCTTTAAAAGAAGAGGAGAGTCTATCTCTATTCCTGCTCTCTCTGCTTCCACCATCTTGCAATGTGAGACCCGTGGGTCACTGTTACCACCACCTGATGGAGTTTGGAGTTCCCAGCCTCAGAAACAGTAAGCAACAAATTTTGTTTCTCTTTATAAATCACCCAGTTCAGTGTGCTTTGTGATAAGCAACAAAAATGGACTAATACAATAATGTATTCTTTATTTCCAAAATTCCTTTTTTCTAATTCATTCAATTTCTTTTTCTAAGTTTCTTGTTCTGCTCCTAGATTGTTATCCTAATACAATTTAGTTTTTCATCTGTATTTTCTTGTGACTCCCTGAACATCTTTCAGAGGATCATTCTGAATTCTCTGTAAGACATTTCATAAATCTGCTATTCTTCTGGGTCCTTTGCTGTCACTTTGTTGGTTTCCTCTGGTGGTGTCATATTTCTCTGTCCTTTCTCGACCTTTATGTCTTTATGTTGATGCCTGTACATCTGAGGAGACAGCTACCTCTTCCACATTTTATAGGGGCCCTTTGGTGCCATTAGATCTTTACCACTCAATATCTGAAATTTGTCTCTGTTGGCCTCTGATTTTGTTTTGTTTTGTTTTGTTTTATTCTCTGGTAAATTAATAACCACCAACAACACTGAAGCACTGCTCTGGAATTAATCTACTGTACTATGGTTAATTCCGAGATTGGGGGAAATGTTCTGCAGGGACCAGAACTTGGATGCTGTACCAAGCTAAATTGTTGGCTTACTGTTCTTTCACAGATGGGGGAAAACTTATTGTGCTGATGGATTTTAATTGTCAGCATTTTAGTCACTTCTCGGTCATGTGGGGTCCCTATAGATGCAACTGAGCTATGTGAATGTTCTGGCCCAGTACTTACCCTTTCCTGCAAACTGTGCCCCCTGCACTTCTGTCTCACTGATCAGTCTCGACTCTGTGGCACCCTGCTGACTGAAAGGCAGATCAGCTGCTTATGCTGTTCCCCAGTGCACCCCTGCTGGATCAGCCCACCCCATCCATCACTGCAAACGTTTCCTGTAGGACAGGGCCTGCATGAGTCTCTTGCAAAGACTCAGTGGCCTTTGGGTGAATTCTTCCTTCCATCATCTGCAGCCCCTTTCTTTTATGTGTGTGTCAGGAAAGCTTGCAAGCATCTTTGTTCACCTGGCAAATGGGATAATGCACTCTAAAATGGTTTTTTTGTTTGTTTGTTTGTTTGTTTGTTTTTGCGAGCAGTCACAGCATCTTTCTCCATTGCAGACTTTAAAATGCTTCATGCAAAGGGTGTTGTGGTGGTTTTGCTGTCTCCAGGTAGCTGCTCCATGTGCTGTTCCATGCTTGCCCAGGGAATAACTGGAGCTGGGACTCATAGGGATGGTCCCTCCTACTGCTTGCCTAGGCTTTTCATGCCTTCATGGACTCAGCAGGTCTCACTGCCTCTTGCCCCAAGTTCTAGTATTTGCAGATGACAGTTTTTGTGTTTTAATAGTTGTGAGCTGACATATTGATAGGGAAAGCCATGCCAAGATCATCTATTTTGCCATCTTGGTGACATCACTCTCCTGCACATACATCTTGCCCTCTATTCTGTGTCTACTTTGTATTGCTTTATGTAATTAATTTTGCATCATCAAAATCTAGTAAGAGTCCCTTATTCAGTACTTGCTCAAAGTTTTGAGTTGACATTTGTCATAGGAAAAACTTCCATGTCTATTTGGTGGTAGGTGCCTTCATGTAGTGCTGGGCACCCTCATTATGGAAATGTGCCTTAAAACATTGAAAGGAGGGGCCGGCCACATGGCTCACTCAGGATATTGCAGCGATGGTAGTGCCAAGGCCTCGGGTTCGGATCCTTATATACGGATGGCCAGTGCGCTCACTGGCTGAGTGTGGTGCAGACCACACAGTGCCGAGGGCTGTGATCGCCTTACCAGTCAAAAAAAAAAAAAATAACATTGAAAGGAGGAAAAGCCTCCAAGCACAGGGAGGGGACTGCTCACATATTTCTCTCTAAGACTGTGCCTCCTTCTATTCCAGGTGGTCACACCAAGCCCTCCCTGTCTGCCTGGCCAAGCTCTGTGGTTCCTCAAGGAAGCCGTGTGGTTATTCAGTGTGACTCTAGTCTTCAGTTTCTCAGATTTAGGCTGTATAAAGAAGATGGGGGTCACATCCCTGGGCTCCAGGACAAAACATTCCGGAAAACGTTTCTCATACACCCAGTGACCCCAGCGCATGGGGGAACCTACAGATGTTATCTTCATACTCACTACCCTAATTCGTTGTTAGCACCCAGTGATCCCCTGGTAATCACGGTCACAGGTAAGAGAGCTCATATCTAAAGTGGCTATTCATTGTCACAAACTTTCTAATTCCAGAGTTTTCTGACAGGAGTATGAGTCAGGGTCCAATAAGAACAGTAGGTACTGCTCCATTGTTTCAGATAAAACAGGAGTCAGTGTAGGGAATTGGGTACTACAGTAGTGAGAATAATTGTTCCCCAATGTTGTCCACATTCTAATCACTGGAGCCCATGAATGTTGAGGTCATGTGGCAAAGGGGAAAGCAGGATTTAGATGGAGACTGGTTGTTAATCAGTTAACCCTGAGATGAGAAAACTACCTTGACTGTCCAGATGGGCTTGCTGGAATCACAAAGATCTTTGAAAGGGAAAAGAGGAAGCAGGAGAGTGAGGGTCGTAGTAATACAGCAAGAGAGAGACTCTACCAGCCATTCCTGGCTTTGAAAATGGAGGAGGGTCCCTGTACCAAGGAATGCAGGTGGCCTGTTGAGGCTGGAAAAGGAAAATAAATGGACCCACCCCTAGAGCTTCCAGAAGGAATGCAGCTCTACAGACACCTTAATTTATACCAGTGAGACGTATTTCAGTCTTCTGACCTCCAGAACTGTAAGATAAAAAACTTGTTTTCTTTTTAAGCACCAAGTTTGCATGGAATTTGTTACAGCAGCAACAGGAAACCAATAAAGGTACTTTGGTCAAGGACAAATTAAGAAGCCAAACAAGAGGAAATGAAGAAACCCAGAGAACACTAATGGCTAAATGCTGATGCCATCACCAGGCTGAGGGAAATCTATGCTCTTAGAGCCAGACTTGGATGCTGGGACCATGGAGAAGGCCCAGATATGGCAGGAAACCCTCCCTCCAGGAACAGATTGGGTGGACATGGAAAAGTGCTGTGTTCCCTGCCTTACTGACTCATTCTTATCTCCTGCCAGGGATTCCACTTTGTCCGTAAAAGCATGAGCTGGATGATAAGAGAGCCTGGAGTTGCAGCCTGTAGTGGTTCCTCCTCCACCCCCACCATAGAAAGCAGGAAAGAAATCTGTGGGAAACAGATACAGCAGCCAAGCGGCCAAGGACCAGCCCAGGGGGAATGGAGTCTGGTGCTTCTAGAGACAGAGAAACAGAGAAAAGGAAAGCAGA